AAAGAGGAACCGTTCGATGGCGTGGTTGAACGCAAGGAGCACTATCTCATGAGGGAGCAAATCTAGTAAGCCCCTCCGCATATAATTCTGTACATCGCTTAATCAGATGATTACAGGTTTGAGCAGGTGCGGGAATGGTTGCCGTATGATTCAACTCACTACGAGATCGCAATCCCAGAACAGGATCTAGGGAACTACTTTTACGTTAATATTCGACACATTTTACCCGGCTGTATGTTCAAGTGGCGGACCTGCACGATGACCCACTGATGTTCGCTACTAGACTAAGGGGTTTCTTGCCTTTGAGATCCTTCCAAAAGTGAGGTCTCGCTACTCGCTTATTCACTCGCAGACTCGGCCCGTGTTTGGGGTTTGACTGGGCGTTTCGGCTCTGCTGTGCCGAAACCGACCGGTCAAGAGGTGTGCGTGCGGCTGGGGAAACCCTGCCGAACGGCACTCGGGCAGAACCTTCGGGTAGTGAAGCTACTCGAATGGGGCTGGCAGAAAAAACAGAGGTGTAGGGTGGGTGGGCGAAAAAGCAGAGGGCGTGTCGTGGACGGCTGGTGCATCCTCAACGCGCTAGACTGAAGCACACCGGCTCTGTCCGTGTTGTGCTGAGTCCGTGCCATTTTCGTGACTTCGTAACTTCGCTTAGTTTTGCGAAACTTTGTAACTTTGATGGGAATCCGTGAAAGCTCGTGATTTTGATAGCTTTCTGTGAAAATTCGTGAGTTAGTATTCCGGACTTGTCAAGCGGCGACTCCTCGGCACATCACGGAGTGATGCGTATCAACAGCTTGCCAAGATGGGCTGGTTAGGTTTGGGTTAGTTGGCTAGGGTTAGTGGTTAGAGGTTAGTGGTTAGGGTTAGCAAGGTATCTAGATGAAAAAAATTGGCAGAGACTTGAGTGGCGGAGAATGATGGCCGGATTGATGTGTTTGATTTGTGTGGGTTGTACATCTCACGAACTTTCCTGGAAACTCGCCAATGTGACGAGGTTTCACAACTTTCCGTCAAAGTGACGAAACTTCGCAGCCTTAAACGAAGTTACGAAGTCACGAAGGTGGGTACGACTCTGTTGTGCTTCAGCCTTTGGCTGGGCTCGTGCCGGATCTCGGCATGAAACCCCGTATCTTATCGACCTCGTGCCTCGGCCTCTCAGATACATTCAAACTCGTCCTTACCAACTTTAGCGACACTCTTGTCAAGTTCTTGAGGCGGGTATTTTGTCCATCGCATTCCGGTAATTCTGATAGGTTCAATATATCATATGAAGATGAATTTTATGATGATTCTCCGGAGCGGTCTGTGGACAGCCTGCTCCCGGATATTCTCATCCTGCAGTCGAAGCTGCAAGCCATCAATCGCCACTTAGCAGCAGAGCCGAAACAAGCGACATCCAACATCATCAGCGATGTGATAACAAGTAAAGGTGGCGGCGGATTGGTGAGTCTCATACCAACCGTGTAAATGACCTATACATTTAAACCTTGTAGATCTGCGTCCTCCACTGTCCTCTTGGAACTGGCAAGCTTCGCAATGGTCATGCACTGAACGAAACTGCCACCGTTTAACACCTAATTAGACTTTGACTGCGGAAGCTGTCGCTGAGCATTTGAAAAGGCCCCTCTACATTGTCGGGGCGTCAGAGTTGTCTACAAACCCCTCGGCACTGGAGGATGTGCTCAAGTCGATCTTTAGCGTAATATAATCGAACTTGAACGAAACACCATTATTGATGGGCTGCACAGCTCGCCATGGCATTGTGGTTTTTACACGGAGATGTTCGGATCTTGACTCGCGGGTTTTGGTAGGTATTCTTGGAGCAGCGAAGCTTGCATGAGGTGTGAATAACCCCGAGAGATATTCGGATTGTTGATTTCCTAAAAGATCGAGGGCACTTCCTTGGTATACGTTGCGAGTCCTTGAATACCACCGTGGCGTGCTTCTCTTGACAACGAACCACATCAAAAACTTTGATATCGCGTTCCTGTCCCGGTTCTCCATCGGTGAGCTCATGGTTTGTACACACTTGACCCTGTATACAACCATCCTACAGCCATCAAATACCCCGAGCACGATATCAAATCCCGTTGGGTGATCTGGCTTTGAGCTCGCAGGTGTCAGACGGAGAGCACTGACGGCTCTGGACGCTCAACGCCGACAGACGTGATCAAACTCGATGATCCCGGCAAGGTCACGAGGATCTCGGACGTGGAACCGGATGCCCTTGCGGAGAAGCCGTTCAACGGGCGGACAATCAAGAACCTCGTCCGCATAGCGCAGGCTCTTGCCCTTTCTTGGTGAGTTTCCTGTAAATCTACATACGGACTAACCGGGTGGACTGAAACGAGCCGATGTCGATGTTGCATGTTGAAATCGCGGTAAGGTCGCAGGAGAAGTTTTTGCGTGAATTTGGAGCAGCTTGAGGCGTAGGAGCGAATTTAGCTGTTTGCTTTTTGTGTACTGCACTTGTACTATTGGTGGTTGAAAAAAAATTGGACATTTGGCTAACATGCATAAACAAACTAAAGTTGAGTTTTTCAGGATTTTCAAGTGAGTGTTTGCTGAGCAACAGTTCCGAGGTGGTTTCGAGCTATTCATTAACAGTTGTTCAGAGCACCTAAAAATAATGTCGGCTTCATGTTGCTTCTTGATCCGATGCGGACTCAGGGCGGTCACGCCACTCCAAGCCAACTGTCATTCCACTCCCACAGCCTTTCCTCTTGCTGCCATCATCCACACTGCACGTCTCACATCCCAGGTCATCCCTGCCTCCCTGGAACTGCTTCAATGAAAATCACAGAGCTTGTTGTTGGACCTGGAGATTACGGGCTTGTGCCGGATGGGTACTACTGGTTTCAAACGGAGTATGAGCGAATCGAGGAGCGCCGCTGGGGATGCATGAACCCTGACAGTCCAATCTCCGGCTTGTGCACAGACCTCGTCGATACATGCTTCGTCTTTGTGTTTCACTGCGGAGGGAATGGAAGAACGACTTTGTGCCATGCCGTTTCTGGCACTGATATCGCAGTTCGTATACAGCAATATATCACCTCCCTCATTTTAATCAAATTTTGGCATGACATAGGTATTCAATGCACAGATGAGCTATGTCGCCGGGGAGGATCCGCACAGTCAGGTGGATATCATTGTCTTTCAGGGGTGTGCCTATAGCGACCCAAGGAACGACATCCCTCCCGAGATCCTGCAAGATGATCTTACGTGGGTATCGCAGACCCTAGATCATATCAGAATCAAAACGGCATCGTGCAATGCTTCCGTCCATCCCAAACCGTTGGGGTACGGAGTCGTGCTCGTCGAGAAATCCTCCGGGGAAGTTACCCTTCCGATCCCACGTAGTAGGGCCAACAACCCTGAACCAGTCCCGCAATTCCTCCACTGTGTTCCTTCGCCACCCACTCCTACAACGCTCGCCAAGAGCAGAGCAGTCGACACATTCTATCGGATCCAATCCACCACCTCATTCATCACATCCAAATTTAGGAGTGTACCATGCTTCGAAGTGTATGATGGGACTTGCAGACTTGCTATCCCCCTGTCGTCGGACGATACAAGGGAAATCTTCCGCATTGCCACCATGCACCCCAACTTCCCGTCCTTCGAGCCCATTCAGCAGTCAGACTTGGACATTTGCATGCATGTGGTATCAACCGGCGAGATGCGGGGGTATGTCGAAGGCCTATCAAGGCTGATACAGAAGGTTGGAGCACCCTGTGAGGTCGCAGGGTGCCGCAAATTCACGACTGAGAAGTGTTCGGCATGCAAGGGTGCTTATTACTGCAGCAGGAGCCACCAGAAGGAGCATTGGGGGAAGCACAAAGCCTGGTGTAAGAGCCATCAATATATACCAGGGGGTTTGGTTGGGAGGCGTATGGAAGATGGAAAGAATCCGTTCGTGAAGCCTGGCGAGAAGATGCCGTGGATGTGACCTGTAAGGATTCATTATATTTTCCATCTCTCTCCCTATGTTCACAGAACTTAACGACTCATTGTATTCCTTTTACGACTCTGACGACTCATTGTTTTTCTCTTTTTGTACGAGTTATAATTAGGTAATCTTGACCATGAACAGATTATTCAGTAGTTGATCACATGATGGATCTATCTACTTTCATCCATGATCCAAACCTCAGCCTACCCTAATTCTGACCTCTCGTCGAGTCTCTCCGAGACTCCAGTTGTACTTCATCAAGACTCTCCGAAGTATCAAGTGACTTGTCGAGTCTCTCCAAGCACAGGCATAGGCTACAGTGAGTTCTAGGCTCATAGTATTATTGACACATATTTCTCCATCTAATCTAGGGGAAAGACATTCTGGTGTACAGATATCTGGCTCCAGTCGAACCCCGTTGATCGCAAGGACCATTCTTGATTGAAGGGTCATTACCATAAAGCTCGAGTGTCGGACCCGCCAGGTGTATCGTCTCCAAATCCTAGATTGAGACTGTCTGAGTCTCACATGACCAACAACGGGAACGGAGATGAACCACTTTCTGCATTGGGATATATATGTAAAGTTCAACCACTGTTGAAGTACCGTGATTGCAGTGAATGCTGGCTTGAGCCCAGCCCTCCGAGAGGTGAATCTCAGCACAGGAAGGTAATGTCGGCCATGCTCATCAAAATGTATAGTAATGGTCAATCAACACTTGGGGCTTGTTTGCCCCGATGGAAAGCAGGATCAGGTGTTATGTCCTGGCAAATATTTGAAAAGAGCTCTTTTCAAATATTCGGGCTGAAGGTGATCATAACAGCCCATGGTGCCCTACCTCTCAATGCTTGTGTGGTTGAATGGTTAACTGTGTCATACATGTAATGTGCCTTTTTGGGGAGTTCGAACCCTGGTACAATACAGTTTCTCTTTGGGTCGATAAAGCTTCGGATAATCTGCCACCATTCTCGAATGGTCTCGGCATTTAGTAGCCTATTAAGATTATCTGCCTGGATTTTTCTGGAAGACCAGTGAAAAAAGAAAATGCCCACTACTCGAGTTGAACGAGTGATCTCGGCATGTCTCCTAACTCTCTGAGGAGCTATTTATACAAGTGCCACGCTGTAACCACTTAGCCAAGTGCTAGGAACATCTATGGAACCGCTAGGTGATGTCAAAATTCCAGCATTGTGCAAGGGTGAGCAAGAAAACGACCATGGAGTTCCATACCCTGGGGTAGTCTGGCATAAGCTGATACACATCAACCAGAAATTCCCGTCGCAGTGTGATGAGGGACGGCTCCGGCATGCATCCTAACAATGCATGGCTCTCATTCTCAACCGTGGAACGGCAGAAACAACAGAGCCTTGCCTCACCTGCAATAGCACTCTCCATAGCGCAAGAGCTCAATTCTGAGCCTATTTCCTGATAGGTAGAGGCGAGCGAGTGCATTGCAGTGTGCAGGTACTGGAACTTGGAGATACAGTCGGCTTTTTCATAATGCATAAAGTCGGGACCCACCCTAAGTCTATGCATTATGGCGGATATGCAAGATGAAATTGTCACCCACAGTGTGACACCGTGTGATTTCGTGACATCTGCCCCAAAACGTGACAATTTTCGCTATTCACCTCACCTTTTTTGGCAGGCCTTGTGCCAGGATACAGATGGGCACATACGGCATGAAGTACACAACAGAGTATGACTAAATGCAGCCAGATTTGGCAGTTTTGGGAGACCGGCCACCCATTGTCACCCGAATTTGGTCATCTCATAATGCATATGTGGGTTAAATGTGGCTCCATGAAGCTATGCATTATCAGAATGCATAAAATAACGCATATCCCCGCCTCCCGACGTGGTTCCGGACCAAATCCTATGCATAATGAAAAATATGCATTATCACCCTATGCATTATGAAAAAGTTGACTGTATTGGTGTAGTTTGACTGGCATTTGAACAAATTTGCCATTATCATCACGCTCCAAACGGCCTTGGACCAGAGGGATATGTGAGGAGTATTGCAGTGTTAGATCGGCTTCGGATAATCTGCCTCCGTGATGGAAGACAGGAACAGTAAAACAAAACAAATGCCCACTACCCGAGTTGAACGAGTGATCTCGGCATGTCCATTAGCTCTCACAAGAGCTATTTATACAAGTGCCGCGCTGTAAACCACTTAGCCAAGTGCTGCGAACATCTATGGAACCGCTAGGTGATGTCAAAATTCCAGCATTGTGCAAGGGTGAGTAAGAACATGTCCATGGAGTTCCATACCCTGGGGTAGTCTGGCATAAGCTGGTACACATCAACCAGAAATTCCCGTCACAGCGTGATGAGGGACGGCTCCGGCATGCATCCTAACAATGCGTGGCTCTTGCTCTCAACTGTGGAACGGCAGAAACGACTCCCATGGTGTACACCTGCGATAGCGCTCTCCATAGCACAAGAGCTCAATTCCGAGCCTATGTGCTGATAGGTTGAGGTGAGTGAGTGCCTTGCGGTGTGCAGGTACTGGAACACGGAGATATTGGTGCAGTTTGACCAGCATTTGAACAAAATTGCTATTATCATCACGCTCCAAACGGCCTTGGACCAGAGGGATATGTGAGGAGTATTGCAGTGTTAGATCACCAAGCCGCCTTCGGATAATCTGCCTCTGCATCCATCGAATCACGTGATGAAAAGACAGCAAACAGTGAAAAAAATGCCCACTACCCGAGTTGAACGAGTGATCTCGGCATGTCTATTAGCTCTCACGAGAGCTCTTTATACAAGTGCCACGCTGTAAACCACTTAGCCAAGAGCTAAGGACCTATGGAACTGCAAGGGTGAGTAAGAACATGTCCATGGACCTGGAGTAGTCTGGCATAAGCTGATACACATCAACCAGAAATTCCCGTCGCAGCGTGATGAGGGACGGCTCCGGCATGCATCCTAACAATGCATGGCTCTTGCTCTCAACTGTGGAATGGCAGAAACAACAGAGCCTTGCCTCACCTGCAATAGCACTCTCCATAGCGCAAGAGCTCAATTCTGAGCCTATTTCCTGATAGGTAGAGGCGAGCGAGTGCATTGCGGTGTGCAGGTACTGGAACACGGAGATATTGGTGCAGTTTGACCAGCATTTGAACAAAATTGCTATTATCATCACGCTCCAAACGGCCTTGGACCAGAGGGATATGGGAGGAGTATTGCAGTGTTAGATCGGCTTCGGATAATCTGCCTCCGCATCCATCGAATCACGTGATGGAAAGACAGCAAACAGTGAAAAAAATGCCCACTACCCGAGTTGAACGAGTGATCTCGGCATGTCTATTAGCTCTCACGAGAGCTCTTTATACAAGTGCCGCGCTGTAAACCACTTAGCCAAGTGTTAGTATGGAGCAATCGAATCATGTGATGGGAAGACAGGAACAGTAAAAACAAAACAAATGCCCACTACCCGAGTTGAACGAGTAATCTCGGCATGTTTATTAACTCTCACAAGAGCTATTTATACAAGTGCCGCGCTGTAAACCACTTAGCCAAGAGCTACGAACATGTATGGAGCTTATCGAATCACGTCATGGGAAGACAGGAGCAGTAAAACAAAACAAATGCTCACTACCCGAGTTGAACGAGTGATCTCGGCATATCCATTAGCTCTCACGAGAACTATTTATACAAGTGCCGCGCTGTAACCACTTAGCCAAGATCTACGACATTTATGGAGCCCTGGGTCCATATCTATCGAATCACGTGATCGGAAGACAGGAACAGTAAAACAAAACAATTGCCCACTACCCGAGTTGAACGAGTGATCTCGGCATGTCTGTTAACCCTCATGAGAGCTATTTATACAAGTGCCGCGCTGTAAACCACTTAGCCAAGTGGGCGTTTTTTAACGTCGGAGATGATGTACACTCGACGCGGGGGGTCAAGGGGAGTCGAACGGGCCTGAAAACATGTAAATCGAATAACAAATGGGCGAGAACGGATTAAAACATGCGTGGGACAACTCTAAAACTGATCTGCGCTGTCGAATGCGAGTGGGACAGCTCAGCTGCAACAGGAAGGTGGGCTTGTGATTTGAGGTGTCCTGCGATGAGCAGGTTATGATTCGGGGATGGTTTCCGGGTCGAACGAGCCCAAGAAAGCCTAAATCGAATAAGAAATGGCCGAGATATGGTGGAAACAGTGTTTGTGTCGGTGTCAGTCAGCGATGGGTGGTTCCAGGTGGCTGTGGAAGGTGATGGTCAGGCATTGGATCTGGAATTGGCGTGAGGGGTGTCCAAGAACGTCGAGGGTTGAATAACTAGAGGAGAGATCGATAGAGCCACGTCGGAGACGGCCGGCCGAGAATCGTAAGCCTGCGCAAATAAGTGATCGGCTCTTGCCGCCGAACTTCTCTCGAAGTCTTCCAGTGAGGCGCTCTGGCCCCTTTGTTAAACCTGCACATTAGGCCGTCACCCAACATGCCCGAGGACGCGAAGCCACAGCTAGAGTCTATCACTGTATACGTGCTCAGGAAAATTGAAGCGGGGCTTCCCAGTCTGGAATAGTATGGAGGTGTACTGCCGCTACGAAGGCTCATCTCTTGATTCCTGGTCCGCTCTTGGATTTCATACGTCCCAAGGTCTATATCTAGAGCGAGAAAAGGTCACCATAAAAATTGTTCGAGCAACCAACTTGAAAGTTTGCGCGTCAGTCATCTCCGAACTTGTTATTGAGTCGTGTTTACCACGAATGGCTAACGTTTCAATCGAGAATGCGAGATCTGAAAAGATTTATGGAAAACAGACCAAGGAACACACGTCCTCCCGTTTTACGGCTGCCAGGAAGACCGTCCATTCCCGTAAGATTTTGTCGTCTCAGCTATAACCCGCCACTTACATTAGACACGAGGTACATGGCTAGCCCTTAGCAGGCTAGTGTTTTCGTCTTCGGATCCCGTTCAAACAACTAATCTTTCCGAATAAACAGGCAAATGAGATTATGTCAAGAAATACGAGACTGATATCGACTATCTTAACCTGGTAATTTTTTATTTCTGCCGGCCACGAGAAAGTGCATTCTTATCCACGTAATCAAGAGAGTAGCTCTGGGCATTCAGGCCTTGCACGACATGAGCCTTCCTGTCGAAACAAAGGGAGGTGCAATAAGATATTGATTATTTGGGACTGTCTGGTGTCTACTTGGACAAATGAGAGAAGTAATCAGTAATGGTTGTAGTAGATAGAGAATTGACTTCGTTTCGACGTGTTTGATGTACGAAACGACTGAGCATGGTGTCCATTTGGCGTACGAAAGGATCTGACCACCAATTTCAGTCCAGCAGAATCCAAGTGTCGCAAGCCACGTTTGAAATCCGAAGTCAAGAAGTGTACACTCACCAATGCAATTGGCATCTTTGTCCACCCATTCCGTGTCTTCGCCCATAAGCCGATCTTCGCGTCGTACACGAGCTGCTTTTCTGGTCATACGGCCTTCTGGTGTTCTGAGATTCGGTGCACTACTAACATAGTATGTAAAGACCCAAAAGCTATGGGTTATAAGGAACTATGGGTGATCAGGGCTATGGGTTATGTGGAATCCGACTGTAGATAAGTATTGATGTGGCTACAAGTGTCTTGAAATAGGGGTTTTTTTTTTTGGACACGCGAGGAAGTTGTGGACGATTGCAGAAAGTGAATGCGACCGATACAAAAGCGCAGTCGGCATCTTAACTGAGAGCGTTTCTTTATGGAACTTCTGTCGCACTAATACACGGATTGCCTGGCGGAGTTTAAAAAGGCTTCGGACGCACGTGATTTTATAAGTTTAACAATTCAAGAAATACTTTAAACACCGTGTTGAACTGTATCTCACCGTTTTTGAACAAATTTATTGACAAGGGTCTTGACTGTATCTTCAAATCTGAGCTCACTTCAAGAGGGAACAGGGCTACCCAGAGGGCCCTGTGTATTCTGAAATATAACTGTTAAAAAAAGAAGAACATCGTGTAAATGATGCCGCAAGGGATTGGGAAGGCACTTCAGAAACTCAAACTAAACTACAGCTGTAACAGTCCTGGGACTGGACTTGCGTCCTGTGGATCCACAGGACGGATTTAGGGGTCCGATCTGACAGCTGCCACTCCGTTTCCCGATCGGGATCACCCGG